TACATTTGTAGCAAGTTCATTCCTCCAATAAGTTAATTTTTTAGCAATCAATTTAGAAAAAAACTATACATCTAATTCACTGTTTTTGTAATTAATTTATGTAAAATATTACCTTCCATGTACTTGCATTTTAAAATGAACATAAATTTTGGATTTTATACATTACTAAATGAATGCAGACAAGTGTAATTTTTAATACTTATTTACTCTTACAGTGGCTTCTTTTTTAAAAGTAATCATGCAGTGAGATATCATATTAGCTTGGCACAAAACTACACAAGGCCACTAGCATAAACTGCTAATTGGAGTTTAAAACCCTGTGGCTGGATACACGTGTATAAAGTGGGATGTGAATTATTGTGTCTAAAGTTTAGGCAAGTGCAGAATATTTAGAAATTTTCAGCACAATTTAACCACAACATGCCAGATTAATTGGATATACTGATATACATTATTCACAAAATGAAAGCAAGACAAATATTAAAAACTTTTTTGTGTTTCTTCCTATTTTATAATTGTTGTCATGAAACATAAATTGCCAGATGTTTTATTCATAACCAGTCACACAAAATGTGAAGAGCATATACATGTGTTACTGTGGAATAGAACAATTTCTTCAAAGAGGATTTTAATTACTTATTAAATTCTGAGAAGATTAAAGGAACTATTCCTTAGGTTCAGTTTTGGTTTATAGGACATAATGGCCAGAGATTCTCGAAGTCTTGTTCTTCAGAAGCACAAAAAATATCAAACTGGCCTGTTAAAACAATGGAATCACATTTGTCTTGAGCATGTCTAAATACATGTGAATTGTTATAATTAGAAAAATTCTTTGTTGGAAACACCCGATTGTTTAAAGCATAAAGGACAAGTATATCTAAAGACAATTAAGAATGTTAGATACACATAGAATTATCCAATAAAACACTTGTGTCCTATACTGTTATTTTAATTGCATTTCCTTGCCTAATTAAAATAACTATTTTTGAAAGATGGTTTGTTGATTTTTGCATGTTAATATATAATAAAGTTGTTGTTAACATGTATGGAAAATGGGTTTTTTAAGTAATCAGCTACTGAAGACATAGTTAATTATAATAAAAAAGTAGAAAAATGCACACCTAAAGCAAAACTACATGGAGGGATTTGCCAGTTGTCACACTAAGTCTACTACAGACCAGAAGATTATTAACTGAGAAGGAAATCAAAGCAACACATAAAATTCTAGTATATGATTGGGGATCAGATTATGCCTTGAAGATAATGAAAACAATGCAGAGCTAGACATTTAAGTGCTATATTAAAAACTTGTATAACTACACCAGTAAGATAAAATACATCTAAAAATGAAAGTGATTAAGTTACTCAAAGTGGAAAACTGTTGTAAGGGTGGAATGTGATAGGGAAGTTTCTCACCTTTTTATTTCTCTTTTGAAGTTAAGATAGTGCATCCTAAGCCATTTCTGAGTGGTTAATAATGGAACAAATGAAGCACAGTCAAATTCAAAAAAATATCTAATTTGTGCTGTAATTGTTCTGTACAAGAACTTGTTAAAGAAGTCCTTTTGCATTCTGTCCTCCCACATTAAACGAGTATCCTTTACAAATGACTGTTGAATATGTAACAATGTGTTAAAATGTGCAAGTTAGTCCAGTGTGCATGGGAGGGAATCAAAATGTACATGCCTTGTACAGAGTACCATTCAACATGGTATTATGCAAGTGATGTCAGTTATCAACATTTCATGTTATCTTACAATGGACATTGTATAGGTTATGCAAATACAATTTGCAAACTGTACGGTGGACAAGAGTATTTTAATTCTTTACATGAACACCCCTTTGCATCTTAATAAATTTGGAATTATACTCAACATTACTTCTCTAATACATGGTTGGTCCATTTGACTGACCCCAAGCACATTCAATTAACTGCACAACTTTGTAAAGAATGTTTAATTTCTATTTCACACTATAAACAGTAAACCTTATTCTTGCTTGAAGTGAACAGTCTAGTTTGGGTGCTGTCCCTCTTTCAGCAGCTGACTCTAATGGGCTTTGCAGGCTCTCTTGCCTGATTTGTAAAACAGCTCTTTGGCCTTTTACTTGGACTAACTAGCTGTCACAGAGATTGCAAAAGATATTTTAATATGAACCGATATTGAAGCTGTATTTGACTTCATATTTCTGTGCTCTTATTTACTGTTTCAAGGACTTGTATGCTGTTCTGATGTTTTTTGTGTTACAGTATCACGATCATACAGTTGTTCACATTCTACAAATAGCTTTGGCATTTTCAAACCTCAAAAATGCCAGTTGCAAGAGAAAAGAGAAAGCATACACCAAGCAGCCTAATAATAGGGTGAATTATTTTTTAGCAGCTAATCAACATCAAGTAACTACTTTGTGGCAGTGGCAAACTAAAGTGCCACAGACCTGGATGAGACTTAGAATTTCCCATCACAGAATGTAAGAAATGATGCTTGGGCCAACTCTAATGCAGGAGTTTTCCCCCCCATATGTTATCCACATTCCAGTATATACTGAAAAAAAAAACAATATATTAAGTTAAACTTTATTGTTTTGCCTAAACAAGATAAACACTAACAACAGGCATCACTATGGCTAATTATTTAACCAACAGCCACTAGGCCACACCCTCACATTCATAGCACATGCATAACTTACTCCAACAGAAGTATTACTAACCATATGTTTTGAGTTTAGTTGGTATATATCTGAAGCTGAGCATGTTTGAGTTACGGCAAATCTACTAAAAGCTCTCTACTGTTGTTCATAATTTTGAACTTCTGACAAGAGAAAAGACAAATGGCTGGCAGTACCTATTGCCAAATCTTTGGCTACCAAACACAGTTGCCCTTTCAGCCACTATAATGTCACAGACAATTCCACTATTCACTGATAAAAAATTACCCCAAAAGTTGGTAGTGGATGCTACCAGCCAGTAATTTTCCCTTGGTCATCCAGAGACAGTAGCAGAGAGCCTTAGTAGCTTTGCCACAACTCAAAAACACTGAAAAGGTATGGTGGTAATGGAAATTGAAACTGAGACCACTGAATCATGAGGCATGAACAAAAATCTATTCATTTGTTGTGTTAAATGTATTTAAGAGCTGTATCAACTACCAGGCAATAGTGGCAACGTTATCAAACAAGTCTCTAAAGTAAAGTAATGAGGAAAAGTGATGCCTTACCTGAATTTGCTGAATATATGGAAAAACTTGCCCCATCAAAACATTGATCATTGTCCGTACCAGCATTCTATGATATAAACCAGCACAATCAGTATGCTACTCCATGTATTTGCATCTAGTTTGTTAGATCCCACTCTATGCAGCAAATATAATAATAAACTGATTGCCCTGCAGGTTGTTGGTACACTTAAATCAACTGTGAAAAGCCTCTCTACATAATATGATTTATGGGTATTTTACACTAATGAAGAGTATACTTTGTGAGTAAACTTCATGTAAAAATATAAATGCAAGTTTAGACTTGCTTCAAATAGTTTCACAATTGAGAATTAGGAATAATACACATGCATTGCACAAAATTGCAGCACCAGAAGTGACAACAAGGATGGAAGTACAATGATAATAAAAAGAGACAGTCTAAAAGAGCAGAATCCACAAAATGGTCCAAACCAAAGGTTATCCATTATGATAATTTTTGGAAGTACTTTAGCTGGAGAACAGTAAACTAGTTAGATTCAGAGAATACTTCATCAGAAGTAAGTCACTCTGCTAAAGAATCTGAGGTTTCTGTCAAGACCACTTCAAGATTATCACCTGGGATGAAGCCACCAGTAAGTTCTCTCAACCATCTACCTGGAGTGAACTCTCCCAGTGACATGACAGGAAGTGTTGGCAAGAGGTCAACCCATCTTAGTATCTGAAGTCATGGAAAAGAAACCCACCAAAAAGATTTGGCAAATGGATAGTTTAAGAACAGTAAGTTAGTAAAGAAAGTTTTTTTTTATTTTAATCACACAAATATTGTTATGTTTATATTCATGAATATGAATCTTGTTAAATGTCAAAAGTTACCTTGTTAATTATGACAGTTTAAGTCCAATGTACCATTGTTCAAAGAAGTTTGTACTCTATGTTTTTTAATTTAGATGTTTTATGATAGAGGAAGTTTAAATGTCACTAATAACTAGAACTTTCCTGAAAGTGTAAGAAATGATTTAACACTCAGGTGAGATTAGAAGAGTTTAATGACTGATTATTTAGCCAGCCAGTTAGTTCAGTGCTCTGAATTTTGAGTCCATGTTTTTAACAAATATGGGGAATCTCTTTTAAGGCATTATATATTTGTGAAGTTAGACGTGTCGTAAGTTAAGTGAAACTTGTATAACTTGTAACTGTAGCCATAAAAATGCTTTTGTTATCATTAAATGCACAGGACTTTGCATTCTTTTTTTTTAACAAATATAAAAAAAAATCTATCTAACAATAGAAACCATTACAACAATAACTTTGAAATATTGTTAAACCATAGCTAGCTATTAGACATTTTCACCAAACACAAATGTACTGTAAGTAATGATAATATTAATTATTGTAAGTTTTAAATGATCCTTTTTCACTGATGTAGTTCATGAAATGAATGTCTTGTGTAATAATGGGAAAATTTGCTCATGCTATAAAGCAAAACAGTGAAAATCAGACATTTTCGAAGAACAATTAAAATGCAGTAATAAATAAGAAACAGGTCATCTCCATAAAAAATTGGTCAAGACAATATAAGAAAGATTAAGTTTTATTACTGATGTAGAAATGGGAACATTTCATATTAATGGACAAAAACATGAAATTTATGGGGAAATTAAAACACAAGTTCATGCAAATTTTACTGATTACAGTCTAAAAGAAAAATCTAAATGATTTAAAAATAAAAGTTGATAATAAACTGCAAAGTTATTTTAAAGATTTTTAAAAACATTAAGACCAAATATTCACTGTTGTGCGTTTGTAACATTTACTCCAATAAATATATATATATATATATATAAAAAAAAAAAATTTTTTAAGCAAAGTGAATGGGTGTGTGATTTTGCCAGTAATGTCATTTCTGAAAGTGCCTGAATTTTGTTTATACAAAGAAAATCTGTATATATAATATATAAGATTATCTATTTTCAAAATGTAAATGAAACTTAAATGAATACTGCGGTCAATTTATGTAACACAAGGAAGTTGAAAATTAAACACTCCCCAGATCTTTCGACAATCTCAAAGTCACATGCAAAAGAAAATGGAAAATACGGCTACACACATTATGCTGCTTTAACCATAGATTCCTTAACATTTAAATCTAAGAACACCAACATAAAAAAAACATATTTTGTATACTAATACACATAATGTCACAAATACAATGCAAAGTTACTGTTAATAATGATCCTTTTCTTGATACAGGGTATTCCTTTTAAACACACACACACAAAAAAAAATATCAAATCCCCAAATGTTTGTTTGTTTTTCTGTGCCTGCTGCATGACCTCTAAATGGTTAAAATAATTTGGCAACTTTAATATGTTCTTCCAACTGATGATTTTGGTTGCTGTAAAGGAAAGAAAAAATTACAGTATTATTAAATTATGAATGAACCAAACTGTGGAAGAACTGGTTTAAGAATTTATTTATGCACCCCACTCCTTCCCAATTGAAACACAAACATAAAACTTAATTTATGAACTCGCAATAAAAATGGAAACACAACATTAATACTCACAATTTATGTAAATATAAAAGGACTGAAAACGTAATTAGAATCAAACTCTAATTCACAAGCTTACAAAATGGAGGTAAAAAAAACACTGGGGATGGCAAGCTTAAATTTATGAATGCAAGTAGTAGCTTGAGCAGAATGATTTCATGCTCATTACAAACTAGTTAAATGAAAATTAATAAAGTTGGGAAAAGTTTACTTTTATTAGTGTTAGCACTAAAAATGAATGAATACCATTGTAGTAGGTAATCTTAATAAAAGTTGTGTATCACCTGATACAATTACCTATTTCTTGAGATTAGTATTATGTTTATAAATATTATTTACTAATCAAGTTTTATTAATGTACATTTACTGTTAAATGTAAATAAGTGAGAAATATTCACTCAATTTACTAAAAAAAATTAATTAGCTAGTTTTACTGTAAATTCTGAAACAAGATATCATAAAATAACTACACATCACACAAAAAAATAAATAACAATACCCAGTTGTGAGGTGTGAAGATAATGGGAAAATTTATTATATAATAATTATCACTGGAATGAAATTTAGATATAGATGAAAATTAGTTAGAAACAAATAGAACACAAAATAGCCAAATTCCGATGATACTACACAAGTACAGCATTCACAAAATACATAAATATCACTTCGATGAGATAATTTATTTTAACAAAACTTCAAGTCCCTTTCAATGGAAATTCCACATTTTTTATGTAAAAAAATTATCTTCAAAATGTAACAAATAAAATTATATTTCCCAATACAATGTCTAAAGCTCAACATATGTTTAAAATACCAGATTAAAGACTGGATGGACAGAGTAAAAAGCTTACACGATGAAGATTGTACAACAAAGGTGGACTCATTCAGCATCATTCTCCACATCTTCTTTTGCTGTCACATCCTATAAATTAAGATGACAGATGACTTATCATCTCTTACTTAGAGTTATACTCATTCTTAAAATATTCTTCACGAGCTTTATTCAGTAACTTTCCATAGAGTAATTGATCACTCAAAAACTTCAACAGAAAACAAGGTTAATGTCCATAGTACACATCTCTGGAACATTTCCGAGACTCAAATATCCATATAACTAACTCTGAGAAATAAATATAAATATTCTAAATGCATCAGATTTCTTATAATCTAATGACTAGAAACCCATTTAAGTAAACTTGTATCAATAATTACTGTGTATAGATGTTTAACTTGATGAAAACTTAAAATAGGTTTTTGCAATTATGTTTCTGCAATAGTTTGAAGTAATAAAAAGAAAAAAGCATAGTTAGCCACTTTTGAAAACTGGAGTCAAGACCATTATACAAATGGTAGCTGCCAATTTTTATTTTATAACATTTTTTAATTAATTGCATTATGCTATATAATTTAAAAACATATAAACCCTAACAATAAAAAGAAAAAAAGGGGACGAAAGGCACAAAGGTGTAATTTTATCCCCCATTTTGAGTTTTGCTCAGAAAATTTGTTTGTCTGGACTTCTGAAGGTTGATTTTTTTTAACCCAGACTTTACAATAAGTAACTGTGGAGGCAGCCAAAGAACATATTGCACAGGCAAAATATGAGCTGTGTATGAGCTGTCAAACAGCAAGTAGTTATTACAACCTCAACCAAAAGAGTCAGAGTATGTGAAGTTATGTTCCTTTCTGTTGAATATGGAGATTTGGATTTTGTTCCCATTCAGAAATGTCTTCTTCAGTTAATCACTCAATCAATGAGTAACAGTGTTAAATGACAAGACAAATGCCATGCAGATACATCAAATTCTACAAACACTCCAAGAAATAAAGCACACATATCCATACATAGTGCTTCTGAACTTGGAAGTGGTCAACCTTTTCCATCACTTACTTCCACTAGTGAACACTTTTCTCTAGGCATCCCTTTTCTCTAATTTAATCACTATAAAATCATCATCACTCAGACAAAGCATAATTTTTACAGCCTTCAATCTTGTTTTGTTAGAGAGCCATAAAATAGAAAATTAGACCCCTCTTGCCACATCCTCTGTTTCAGGATTTGTTAAGAGTTCTCTCTTAAATTTAATAAATACTATATTATTTATAACCAATAAAAAGCCAAGGTTTTCGTCTATCAAATGATGTATTATATTACATTGTTTTCCAAACAGAGAATTATCAATTTCTCTTTTAGTACAAGCTTAGTTCCCATGGGAAACATATCAATTAGCTTGGATGAATTTGTAACGGCTCTGGTTGCATAGCCATTTGGTTGTGATTAGTTATGGGACATTATCTGCATTTTACATGTTATTATTCTATGTTCTTTGGAACATCATTTAAATAGATAAAAATTATTTAGTGCACTACTACCATTAGTATAAAAAAAGTAGGATTAAGTGTCATTGACAATTGTCAGCAGAAAAAGTCTAGGTAAGTACTTTATTTCTTGTTTTTTATGTGTATTCTACATTTATTATTATAAAAGTAACTAAAATGTAAAAATATGAATCTCTTTAGATTAGTTAAGGCTAGATTAGATAAAATGAATAATAATATAATAAAATAATTTTCATAAGTCACATATGAGCATCTTGGAGTAGCTTGTGGGTAACGAAATTTGATAACATGAGCCCCCACATTCCACAAGCAATTTACAACTTATAATGGCATGAATAGTGGTTAGACACGGCTCAAAGGGTAATGAAATAATAAAATATAAGTATAAATAGATGCATACTATTACGAGTTTAAAGCTACTTGGGATAAACAAATGTCATTTTATGTTACAATTTTAAGTCATTCTGGAAAGAAAAAAAGGGTAGTTATGTGAAAGACTTGCAATGTTTAGTGAGAGTCCGCCAAGTTTTGTGAAGATACGCATACCATATTAAAAGTTGTAGTATCAAAACTATGACGACTTAAACGAGTACAAAGTGGTCACATGGTTGGTCAATTCGACCAAGCCCATGTAGAGAGGGTTAAGGTGTAAGATTACACATCACAAGGTTTGACTGCAAAAAAGAAAAAGTTTATTTTACCAAGGAAAGAAGCTGGATCTTCCACAAATGTAGTAGTGTACATGCTGGAGTAAAAATAACAAATTATAAGATAAACAGTGTCAAAAGGAAATGGATGCACTATTTAGATACTATTTACAGTCATCCAAAATGGGTGCGAGAACAATTGTCAACCATGATTTTCTCTCCAAAAGCTACCGGAGAAATCATATTTGAAAAAAATCTATACATGGTCGTGAACTATGTACTATACAACCAAACTGAAAGAAATATTGTCAATAAAGGCTTTAACTATAAAGTAAAACTACCTAATATTAAATATATACCCAATTACAGTGTGATGTTTTTAATGAAACTAATGTTCTGAATGAAAACCCATTTCTATATGTTACACATAATTAAAACACTTTCTACAAAGTATAAATAATATTTCTTATTTATATTTTATTAAAACAATCACTAGCACCACCCACACACAGATTTTTCTTCACAAAATAATGAATGACAACACATAAAATACAGCAAACATACCAGCCAATTACATTTTGTTTAATGATTATTTCCAAGTATCCATAAGAGTAATTATACTATGATTTCTGATAATGTATGTGTACTTTTACAATATTTTGCAGGTTACTGGTAAACATTACAAGGCTTTCATACACAAACTATTAAGTTTTAAATTATGTATTAAGGTTTTTTAATTAAAGATTTTCTCCCAAAATTTTTTATTTCAGAATGTTGACAATCCAACATGCAAAGTACTTTTGATTTTCAGATTAAAGTTTTATGCATCGGAACATTTCTAAATTTAACATGCAAAATCTTTATAATATGTAGATAGTTATCAAATGTTTTTATTTCACTACTGTATTTCTGTATGGGTTGGGTTGATTTGATCTACCTGGTAACCACCATAAAAAATTAGGAAATAAATATAAATTATGCTTTTTTGTTCTAGAATGAATACAAATTTTTAACACACATGGTTGAAAATCTCATCGGTTTCAACAAGGCTGGTATTTTTCTTTTCTTTCTTTTGCCAATTGCAGTGAAGTGAAAACATTGTCTGTAATCACATTCCTCCCTTTACTCAAGTACTGTGCCATCAACCTGAGTACTACACTTTTGGGCAGTCTGACCAGCTGGGTAAGTTTCAACTTTGTCCAGGTAGAGGAAACCATTCACCATGTATTTTGAGCCAACATTCACAACCAGCCAAAACTTGATTGCAAATTTTCCTGTTTGCCACGTATTATTTCCAATGACATTGTGCTTTTGAGAGAAACTGCTGCTCATTTACTGTAATTTTACCATCTGGTTTGTAGCAGGTAATGCTGTTTTCAATGAAACCATTCCCAATTTTTAATGTAATGGTAAATTTTATCTGTCTGACATCCAGCATTTCTCTCAAGTCAGAATTCAAAAATAAAGATATTTCAAAAATGATTCTATGACATTATAAAAAAGGAATTCTCCCTTGCACAGACCAAAAGCTCTCCAGACAAATGCCTTTGCCACTGTAGGCTGCATGACAATACAATAGTGCAATAAACTCTTCTAATTCCTCAAAGATATTTCCCAGGAATCATCATTCTATACCCTGTGCACCCCTGTACAGTATGTAATTGAATGTGGTGCAACATTAACACATCAATCAATAAATGAAAAGCACTTAAGAGGGCTATCAATGTTGCATTTTCCATAGTGTCTGGAACCTGGAGTTTCTGTCAAAACATTTTGTATAGCCCATCTTCACACACCCTCAACACCAGGACTTATGATTTCCCAGACAGTCCCCATCCTTCTCAGTTTCATGTTACTGATGCAGCTGAAGTTGCTGTACTTAGTATTGTTGTCCCTGGTAAAATGGCTGGAGCACCTGTAGCTGCTGCAGGAGGCAACACAGGCAAAGCAGAAGGAACTGCAGAAAATTCCCTAGAACTACTACTTTGTCATGATTTTGCCTACATTTAGAGAACTGTTGTTGTTGTAATGGCACTTCTCACTTTCACTTGCAGTACTGTTTCACAAATCCAGAGCTCATCACTTTCATTCTTGCTAATATTCCATGCATCAGATTAATTTTCTTACAAAGTTATGAATATCTCAATCACTTGTTGAACAGACAAGTATCTTCTATGAGCCATTTTTGAATTTCAGTTGTGACTGTCAGAATCTGTTACCAGCTAGGTTGCCAGACAAGCAGGTGCCACTTCTCACAAGAACTGATAATCATAGTTGGACTATGCTGATATATTCAAATCAATGAATAAGCAATACCTATACTTTGAGATTTCAAGGGCCAAAATATAAGAAAAGACTAATGTAATCAAAGAGCCATATGCTCAATGGGGACAGAGATAACAGGCTGTTATACTGAAACTACAGGCTACTTGTATTGTAGATTGTTTCAAATAAAAAGCATGTATTGTAAACAGTCAAATTGACTGGTCTTTGGTGATTATAAATAAAAGTGATTACAATGTTTATTTTTGCAATTGTGCCTTTGAAACATCATCAAGATATCTAATACGCCTATTTAGGAAAAGTCATAAACAGACAATGGTGCATCTTTCATGCATGCAGTTAAATATGAAAGTGAAAACAGTCAAAATGACTGGTTTGGTGGTTCTAGTGTTAAGATATGTGCATTATTATCTACAAGATGTATACACAACTGCTACACTACATATTGAAATATTTTGATCTGAAACACGTAAAAAAACTTACCGACTTTTTGGGCCGACCACGACCTCTTCCACTAACGGGTGCAGACTGTTTTCCACCTTTCTTTTAAGGAGAAGCAATATCAAACAACATTACTATATTGCACTAAGCACAACATAAAACCATGAACAACAACCTGTTTATAGCTACATTTTAATAGTAATTTTAATATCTTAATATTTCATTTTAATGTCTAACTTTTAATACCATTAAGTCTCAATCTCAAATCAAACTGTAAATATTTAAATGAACAAAAATAGGAAGTGAATAAATTTACTACAACACCTTTTTAAAGCTTCCTTTTGGTCTTCCACGTGAACGCTTTACTGGAGGCTCTTCAGAACTCTG